ACTGCTAATTATTAAAATGTTACATACAAGAAGCTATTAAAAAGACAAATTGCAAATTAAGCATACACACAAGTCCACATTCTCTGTGGAAAACTATGTATTGTTTTCTAATCTCTTATACCCATGAATGATACAACTTTTCATTTTTCATTAGGAACTGAACCAGAAGCTTTTTGGCTGATATTTATTTCGGAAGAAGCCTAGTGGTTAACCTGTAGGTTTATTGGGCGCATTTTTTGATAAGGCTCAAGCCATTAACAATAATTAAAAACCGACATTTTTTTGCGCCGTTGGAGAAGCGGAGTTCTTTTTTGCAAAATATGAATGAATCAGGAGAGAACCGAGCTCATTTTTTACACTAACTCCGATTCCTCCAAAATGTTAAGACCTAGTCAAAACCCTTCCGTATTCATGAAAGGCTGGAATGCTTAAAAGCAGTCGAGCGATAGCACGGGCCAGCAACTATCACTCAACAGCAAAACTACCGATGGCTGGCCCACATTCGATACCTGCTTAAAAGCCAGTGGAGTCTGGCTGGCACATGCCAGCACCAGTTTACTATTGAAAAAAATAAACTAATCGTAGAAGGAATGGTTGCCCCCTACCGACGGATTGGACGACTGACTCAGTGAACGTGTACTGCACCGCCATCACCAGCCTACAAACAATGCATACATCATTTTGCAGTGCCTTGATCATCGGCGAATACATTCCTCCAAGATGCATTATTTTGTGTAGAAAGCTGATAGGAAAGCAACTGAGCGGCCTCGCTGCATTCCCAGCTAGCGCGACGGAAAATAGGAAACCCAGTCAAGCACGTACAACAAAATTTCACCTTTCTGCACTGGCCTCATGTGGGCTGTAGCCGAGGTGAGACCATGTACCGCTACTCACTGTTCCCAAATCCACTGACGTCACAGAATCGATCCCACTTGTTCGGTCATCATTAAATGCATTACGCCTCCGGCTGATGCGATGCGCAGAGGAACAATCGTTCAGCTGAAAGGATGAAATTATAAATCTGCACCTATTTTTTTTTTTCTTCAAGCTCCTACCTGACGCAGAAAAGCATGCCTCCTCCACTGCGCATGAGCTCACACAAGTTCCAAACGGTTTTTTAAAACAAAAATAAAATCCTATCTTTAAATAAAAATGATGATCCAGTTAATGAGGAACAGTGAAAAGGTTCCAATGAGCCGAAAGTTTTGAGCTCGATGTAAAAACAAGCCTCCAGAGAAGGGTTTTCTATTCCCTAAACATTTCTACCAATTTGATTATCTTGAAAACATGGCCAATACTGAAAAAAAAAAAAAATCATCTTCTAACACTTGCTTGTTCTCTTTTCGAATTCCATAGATAGTCATCTTCGCTTATGCGCAAAAAAAAAAATACTTGCATGAAAAATATTTGCAGACGCGAAAACTTGCAAGCTAGATGGACGGCAATTGCAAATGTCTTCATGGCTTCTTTTCTTGGGTATTAGCGCTTTTTTGGATTTTTTCCAGCAACTAACCGTGGCAGCGCATGTTGCACCATTCTCAAAGAAATCTCTTTCACGCACAGAATCATGAGCAATGACTGGAGATCGGCACGGCGAAGCACAATGAACGGTTGTGGAAATGTCTGCTCCGATTGCTGTTGCTGCTGCCACAGAATCACAAAAATCCATTGGCACATCTGCTTCGATGTCATCATTTTCTAGAATCTTTGAGAATACGCCGCTCGCATTACAGCCTAAATTAAAAAATTTTGCTCTTCATATTTTGCCTCGAATGCAAAATTCGAAAAAAAAATCAATGAAATACAAGATTGTTAAAGAAAGTTGTGAAATTTAACAACTAAAAGTTGACAAGAGCAACCTGATCTAAAAGAGAAATCCATGCCTGGGATTTCTTCAAGTTCAAGATTTCGTGCTGCCTGGGAGTAGCTTTCGATGGAAATGGTTGAATTCGATTCGAATGTGTCCAGTGGCGATGTCCTTTCCAAAAAACTACGAAAAAACTCCTGCAAAATGAGGAAATGGCAAAGAGCGTGTTAAATAAAAAAAAAAAAAATCCAAGACTCAGAGGAAAGCAAAATAATTGGCCAACGCACGGGCTGCCCGTGCGAAGATGCGTTTTTTGCATAGCTCCCCGCAGA